AGAGTCTAATTATGGGAACTAAAGGGAGGACCACAGTTCCATGATAGCCTATAGCAAGGAATCTGACTGGACTGTAAAGACAGAGAGAGAGCTTTTCTAAGGAAGCAACGTTTGAACTGAGACTGGAAGCTAACTGCACTCAGGGCTGCGCATGGGCGGGGCATCGTTGACAATGGAAATAGAATTTCCTCTTGTGGTGGGTGAGGTCATGGGGAGTTCTAGATACTGAAATAGGGCCACTCTGGCCGTAGTGTAGGTTAGAGAAGAGATAAGAGTGACATAGATGAAGCCTGATGTGTAGGCATGGGTGATTGAGTCACAAGTGGCCTTACAGGTCATGTTAACATTTCAGTCATTATGCTAAAAGAAATAGGCAGCCTCTGAGGCTATGATGATCTGCCTTTCAGTTTAGTTTCTAGTGGTGAAATATGCTTAAATGCTTACAGTTGTTTTTCACCGCTTCATGTTGGAAGAGAAGGAAATGTATTAGAGCTTGTATGATACGCTGTCCCACTGTTGGAAGTTACAAGTGATAGATTTAGGCTTCTTGCTTTCACAAAGTTACCATAGCCGTGGGGCTATTGTCCCCTTAGTGTGAGAAGGGATAGGGAAGCTGTTATTGACTTGTTTCTTTTGGCTGTGATAGGTTTGGTAAGCCACAGAAAATGTTCAGTTATTTAAAGCTATTTACTTTGTGAATTAAGGGTCATAAAGATGCATAAGTCATTGTCTTGCCCTTAAGGAGAATTGATGATATTCTTACTCCCACCTCTTATTCTTTGCCAAACAAGCAAAAATCTAAGGAAAGATATGTTGTTGAAAAAAAGTAACATTTTAAAAAATAAACATATTTGACAGTGTAACCCAGCCAGATTTTTGAGAGAATAGTGCTTTTCCTTTTTTAAATTTATTGGTAACTTTGAAATTCCATTTATACACAGAGGCTCAATGTCTGCATTTACTATACTGTTTAAAAATTACACTTTATCTTAAGTTTATTTTAATCATAGATTTTTTTTTAAGAGAATTAAAAAAAACACAAACCTGTTGCTGTCGAGTCGATTCCGACTCATAGCGACCCTCTAGGACAGCATAGAACTGCCCCTACGGTTTCCAAGGAGCGGCTGGTGGATTTGAACTGCTGACTTTTGGTTAGCCATCAAGCTCTTAACCACTGTGGCACCAGGGCTTCTTAAAGAGAATAATGCCCCCCCAAATCATAAAAATCTCAAAATAACACTCCACTGTGAGGAAGAATCCTTATTACAGTGAGAGGAATTAACAAATTAAGAGGGATTAAGAAATTGAAATAATGCAGCAGCCTGAAAGAAATCATACAATAGGAAAACAAAAAGCAAACCCATTGCCATCGAGTTGATTCCAACTTATAGCAACCCTATAGGACAGAGTAGAACTGCCCCATACAGTAATACGTTTAAAATGACTAATTTTATAAGGGAAAGAATTAAAACCATAAGGAAAATATATAATACTTTGAGAAAAAGGGCAGATTAAAAAATGAGCCATATGGAACTTTAATAAATAAAAAGTCATTTAAATTAAAATTTCCATGGCCATTTTAAGCAGCAGATTTGACATAGCTTGAAAAGAGAATTTGTCTAGAAAATATGACTGGGAAAATTACCCACAATGCAACACAGAGCTATAAAGAGATGGAAAATAGGAAAGAGATTTTAAGAGATCTAGGGACTAAACTGAGATTGTTTAACACAGTTCTCATAGTAGTTCTAGAAGGATAGAGACAGTAGAGGAAAGTCTGGGAATTTTCCACAGTTGTGGAAAAATAGGAATCCTCAGTTTCAAGAAGTACAGGGAGCCTAGAGCAGGGTAGATAAAAATAAATTTTTAGCTAAATACATTGTGGTTAAATAGTAACACGCCGAAGCCAAAAGGAAGAATCTCAAAGACAACCAGAGAGAAAGGACTAATAGAACAGTTGTGTTAAGATCAGATTTCTGAACACTAAAAACCAAAAGACAGTACAAAAGCATCTTCAGAGAGCTGGGGGAAAATAACTGTCAATCTAGACTTTGATATTCAGCTAAACTAGCATTCAAGAGTGAGACATAATACTTAGCATTTGCAAAGACTGAATTTACCTATCTAAAACTACACACAAAAATAAACTACAGAAGAACCTAAATATGAAGAGAAAATTCTAAAATCTTTGCAAGAAAATATTAAATAATATTTTTGTATTGTCAGGGTATAGAAGGCTTTTTTAATCAGGTGCTAAAAGCAAAAGCGAAAACAGGAAAATATTGATAGATTTGACCACATTAAAACGTTAAACTCTTGTTCAGCAAAAGACACCATGGGCTCAAGCATATCAGTGATTGTGAGAATGACATAGGACTGGGCAGTGTTTTGTTCTGTTGTACATAGGGTTGCTATGTGTCATAATTGACTTGATAGCACCTAACAACAAAAACATACAAAGTTTAAAGACATCTACTGGAAGATACTTGCAGTGATATAACTGTTAGAATATTAGTATCCAGAGTAGGAAAAGAATGCTAGAAACCACAAACAACCCAATAGACAATGGATATACAAAAACAATTCACAGAAAAGAGACTCATATGGCCAATAAGCATACAAAGAAAATCTCAAGCTTACTTGTAAAACAACAATGGTAAACATTTCACATTCATTATATTGGCAGGAATTAAAGTCTATTAGCATCAAGTATCAGAGAGGATTAGGGAAAATACAAACTCTTCTACTATGTTGCTGGGAACATAAACCATAATTTTATGTATTGAGAATCATAAGCAACATATTCTGTGACCAGTAATTTTGATTCTAGGCAACTATCCTAAAGAAACTCACACATATGTGCAAGAAGACGTATACAAGGATGTTTATGACAGCATTATCTGCAATAGGAAAGATTGGGACTAATGTCATTGTTCACAGTAGTCGAATGAATAACTGAGTCATGTTTCATCCAGACAGTGGAACAGTATACAGAACCAAAATGACCGTTGTTGTTGGGTGCCTAGTTGTTTTTGTTGTGTCGAGTCGGTGGCTAGTACATTTACATTTGTCAACATGGACAAATCGCAAAACATGCTACCGAGTAGAAAAAAAGGAAGTTATAAAATGATAGATACATGATTCCAATTTTTGTAAGAAATAAAAACATAGAAAAGAATACTATATGAATATCTACATATGTAGCAAAAACATAGAAACTTGTACAATATGTTGACTTCAGAACAGTGATTAGTTCTGGGAAGGAAGAGGTGAAAAGGATGTGGGTGGGGCTTTTTTTAAAAATGTATCTCTTAAATCTTTGTTGTGGGTGATGAGCATTTGTTATTTTTTGTTCTTTTACGTATGTTTAAAAATATTTCATGATTGAAAATTAAAATGTTATAAATACGCTTTCAAAATCAAAGTTAAATATAGCAAAGGATGACTGGTTGTCAAAGAGTCTTTCAATGAGCCAATCAGGTCCTTGAGTCTAAGTGTTCCAACCTCTCTGGCATGAGTAAGGGAATGTTAAACTTTTAAACTTGAAATGTTTGTTTGAGGGATTCTACTGGATTTTCTGCGAAAGGAAAAACGTGGTTTTGGCGGTCGGTAAACAAGTGAAGTTTTGGAGTGGTTTCAGATTTTTGAGAATACTCTCTCTGACCCCTAAAGGCAGCCATTGCAAATGTTGCTAGTGCTTTCCTAGGTAAGACAGACCAAGAGCTCTTAATCCCCTGAGTAAATAGTTAATAGTAAATATAGCCTTTGTTAGAGTCTAGGTAGATCCTTCAGTGCAGGCTCTCTTGTTCATGAGAGGGTTTGTGGGGAACTCAGAGAGGCTCATTTTCTCAATAACCATGGCTTGGAAAGGAGATGGTTATCTACCTCCTACAACTGGGGCTCTTAGGCAAAAAGCATCTACTGGCCGATGATGCTTGTGGTATGGTGCCAGCTCTCTTTTCCTCTCACAGCCTTCCTGTATTTTTCCCTGGAGCTGCTGCTCTTCATGTTGATTTTAGCCCTAGTCCACATGAATAAATTGTTGGACTGGAGAAAATATATAAAATCTGACCATTTTAATCATTTGCAAACTTTTTAAAGAAGTGATTGGTGCTGAGTGCCAAATGAGTACTTCAAAACCAGGAAAACTGGACAGCTGGATCTTCTTACCAGTTAGAATTGGTGGCACCCCAGGCAGTATTTTTTTTTTTTTAATTTAAATTAACTTTTAATTTTAGAATAGTTTTAGATTTACAGAAAATTTCAAAGAAGGTACAGAAAATTCCCATATATCCCTTAGTTTCCCCTGTTGCTAACATAATATTGCCTAAATTGCTATCTAGGAAATACTTTTAAGACAACAGTTTCTACCTTGTTGGGGATATGACACCTTTTATTCATAGATTTGATACCTCGAAAGATTTACTGACATGAAAGTATATGGCAAAATCAATGTTTTTTCATTTATAAATTAATCAAAAAATGGAAACTAATACTTGAACAAAGTAATAGAAATCTAAAATTACTGACATGGTGCCTGGTCTATATAAATGCTCAACAAGTATTTGTTGAAAGAATAAATAAACGAATGTAGGTGCCCTGTCTCTGTGTATACTATAGAGGGCTTCAGGTTCCTACAGCTCTCAGAAAAGATAGGATTACTCCGTATATAACTCATTATGCCTTACACATGTTGGAATTCTTACTGCTGATTGGTACAATTTTAGTCTTAATATCATGAAACCTTGGTGTTTCCTCCATCTATCCATTTATTATTTCAGATTACCAATAGGTAACATTGAATGCCTATTATTATTGCCCTGCCCTCCATATCATGGTAAATATGAATACTAAATATAAACTTTGAAACTTATGCTTTTTCAGTATCTAAGTTTTTAATGTAAGTAAACAGAAGAAACTAGAGTGTTTTCATCAAGAAAAATAAGAATTATTTACTTGGAAGGTAGACTGTTCAGCAATTAATCTTTTTATGTTTTCAGACTTCAGATGTGGAAATGGTTTTGTCAAAACAACTTTCTCTCCATGTTCAAGAAAGCATGAAAAACACTGAAGATGAGCAGAAAGTCAATGAGCTGCAAAATCAACCTTTAGAATTAGATATTATGTTAAGAAATGAACAATTAAAAGAGATAGAGGTATGGAAACAGAAAAAACACTAACAACCTGATTGCATCATTTATCCAGTGCAATATAATATATTTTAATTACCAAAAACTTGCTTGCACAGAGTGAAAAGTCTTATTTATCCTTTGCCTGATGATCAATTTGGTAGCTATATAATTATGTACTAATCAGTAAGTTGTATAAATCTTTCCATTTAAGAAGTGGAAGAGTTTAATTAACATTAGTCTTCTTTCTCTTCCACGAAGTTCCTAAAAACTTACTTATTCAATGACAAAATTTGGAGATCCTGACTTGTCATCATTCCATTTCTTAGTCATATGTATTCTTTTGATTCTGATAAATTCCTTTTATTTTTCCTAATTATCAACATTATAAGGTCTTTCATCTTTGTTTTTACAGCTGTGTTTATATAGCTGTGTTTATTATTTATTTATTTATAGGTATGTAAAGTAGTCTAAAAATCCAGTACGTAGCCATGGTTTTAAAAATGAAACTAAAAATGAGCCCTACAATTTTAACTAAGTTTAGATAACAGTAAACATGTATCTAAAACAGAAAGGGGGTGATTTATGTGTATAATAAAAATAAGATAGATTTTCTTTAGCCATTGCAAAACCTTTTAACCCAATCAGATGATCTAATTGCTATTAAATGCTGTACCAATAATGAGTTTTAGCCTAGTTTTTAACATGATTCCAGTGGGAAAACCACTTAATGTCAGGACTTTAGTTTCTCTGTATGCAAATTATGAAATATTTAAAACATCTTGGGGTAGAACGTGTTATCCGAAGGAAGGAGGAAGGGAAAGAAAATGAATGAATTCATGAGCAGATGAGTGAATGCATATTTAATTATTTGCTTGACTTATTTTTAGAAATTATATGCCCAGTTGGAAGCAAAGAAAGCAGCCATTGAACCACTGGAACAAACTGAACATCTCCACCGGACAGAAACAGGTGCCTTGGTTCCCCACAGTACAAGATATTCAGTGCACAACTTGAACAGTCTACTTCAAGCGCTCATTACCTTGAAGAAAGATAAAGAAAGCCAATATTGTGTCCTTAAAGATTTTCAGGAACACCTTGCTGCAGTTGAATCTTCAATGAAAGCCTTGTTGACAGAAAAGGAAAGCCTAAAAGTGTACGTATGAGAATTTAGGACTTGCATTCTTTTTATTCAAGCACAGACTCCACTACCTTGAACAGGCCCAGAGTTTATACTGGAGTATCATAATGTTAGGATGTTAGGATTTTACATTATATATGGAAGCCATTTAAGGAAGCTCTGTTGGTTTCATGCAAAAAAAATTATATTATTGGGTATGTTTTTTAATTTATTAAACAATTCAAACCATCAATACCTGCAAAATGGGTGTAAGTTCTATGGAGTTCAATATTCTTTTCATCAAGAATTTATTATACACTATTGGGAAAAGGGGAAGAACACTATATATACAGTTGTTTAGTATTAACATAATTGGTTTAAATAGTTTGATACATACATTAAGTATAGGTAGTATAATATTTATTTTAAAATATATGTACTACTTTTGGCTTTGAAAATGATGATTAATGGTTGTAAATATAATGTTAATGTATATACATTTTCCCATTATTGTTAATTTTATACTGATGCCTAAATGGGGTTTACTGCATTTACTTTCATTGATATCCCTTGAGGAAGCAATTTTATGTTCAGAAGGTTAGCCTGATGATTATAATTTTTTAGTCAATATCTATATCATTATTTTTGCAGAGACTTGATAACAAAGACATTGGATGTTACAGTAATTTTTCTCAGTTCTAGACTAACCTTTGTACAAGTGCTTTATATTTTACAGAATATTTTTACATACATTGTTCCCTTAAATCTCCATTCCTTCCTTGTGGTTGTTTATTTTTATGATACTCCTTTTGCAAATGAGTTTTCTGCATTGTCACACTAATTGAAAGCCACAGTAAATAAGATTCTGATTTTTATTTTAAGGACAGAGTACTCTTCTAGACAATCTAATCTTTTCTATGAATTCAAAGCAGAATCTTTCAATGATAACTAACCACATGTTAGTGTATGTATAATAAATATTTAAACAAGCTCCATTTATTTTCTTTTTCTAGGGGAACATCGGACATTGCAACGTATCTTGATAAAATTAAAAAATTCCTGACATCAATAGAAAAAGAAAAAGATTCTTTAAACAAGCTGAAAATCAAGTGGGAGACTATATCAAACCATCTGACTGACATGGATAAGAAGTTGTTGGAAAACCAGATTAAGCAACTTGAACATGGTTGGGAACAAGTGGAACAACTGGTTCAGAAGAAGTATTCTCAACAGCTAGTGGAGTATGATGAACTTAACTTCCTTATGAGCAAGATCCAGGACATTGAGATTTCTCTGCAGCAACTGCAGCAGCGTCTGCAGTTAAGGCTGAGATCTCCAGAACAACAAGAAGGAAACCAAAACATGGTTTCCTTGGCCACCGAACTCGAGACTATCAAGCATAGATTTTCTGTTTTAAAGGGAAGAGCTGACCTTCAGATGAAGAGGCTTTGGGGGGATAAAGAAAAGAAGACTTTGGAAGATGTAGTCAATAATTTGCAGAAGCAACTGGAAGCATTGGCGCCATTAAACTTAGAGGTGGAAAATCAGATCAAGAAGTGTGAAATAAGGAACAAGATGAAAGAGACTATTTTATGGGTCAATAATCTGTTGGGTGAACTTATGCACACCATTTCCCTTCTCCCAGATGACATTGTTTCACAGATTAGAAAGTGTAAGGTAACACACGATGGCGTTCTGGAGAAGCAGCAGATGGTGGAATCTTTGGCTAAAGAGGTCAAAGGTAATATTACTCACCTGCCAGCACATGAAACCAATGATTTAAATAACCTCCTACAGGACTTACAGAGTCAATACCAAATGCTAGTTTTAGAATCTGCTCAGAGGTCACAGCAGTTAGAATTTAAGCTGGAAGAAAGGAGCAAATTTTTTGCAGCAATGGAGAAGGTTCAACTTTCACTTCAAGGGAACGAAACATTGATAATTCCTAAGATAGAAACAACCCCCACAGAAGCTGAACTAGAACATCAGCTTGTCACTTTGAATACCTCTCAGGAAGAATTGCAAGAAATTGAAAGTGTAATCTCAACATATCTTCAGGAACTAACAGACTTTTATAAGGATCTAAATGTGTTTGAAAGGTTATTTCTGGCTGATCAGCTGAGAAATCTTAAGACTAGAGCTAACAGGACTCAAAGATTTATTCAGAATAGAAGTGATGAAGTAAAACACAAGGTAAATCTTTACAGAGAATTTCATGAAAAAACATCTGGGCTTCAGAAGGAGGTTGACAATATACAGTACAATGAACTGCTACTAAATGAAGAAATAAATCAAGATGTTGAAGAGGAGTTCTGTAATTTTAAAGATAGACTCACTGTTATTCAATCTAGTATCTTGCAAGTATTAAAACTCAAAGAAGTGTTTGACTATATGGGACTAAACTGGGATTGTTCACAGCTTGACCAATTACAAACCCAAGTATTTGAAAAACAAAAGGAACTTGAAGAAAAAATTAAGCAGTTGGACTCATTTGTAGCAGAACATGGCAAATATCAAGCATCTCTAAGTAAAATGAGGGCAATGGATTCAGAAATTAAAGAAAGGGCTGAAGCAGTACTAAAATCTTTTAGTACTTCACCAGAAAGTAGTCTGCTCAGTGCCCAAATTTTGAATCAGAAAATTGAGAAAGCTATGTGCTTGTATCATGAGATAATAAAGAAATTAAGTGAAAATAGGGCTTTTGATGAATCATTTAAACAGAAAGAAATACTACAAATAAAGCTGTATGCAGAGGAGAATAGTAAGTTGCACCAAGTTCTCCAAAACTTGGTAGTAGAATTGCAACCGAAAGAAATGGATGAAAAGAATTTTCAGGACAGGCTAGAAAATTCCTTGCATGTTTTAAATCAGATAAAATCTCAGTTGCAGCAGCCTTTACTTATAAATTTGGAAATTAAATGTATTCAAGATGAAAAGGATAATTGTGAAGCGTTTCAAGAACAAATTCAGGCAGAAGTTGTTAGCATTAAAGCTGTGACTGTCATTGGTAAGCCGAGAGAAAAAGAAAACTCTTCGAAAGTTAGTGATATGGAAACAAAATTACGTGACTTTGAAGATCTTCAAATGCAGCTTAACTCAAGCATTGTTTTGCGCACGGTAAGTTTTTTTTTTTAAATTAGGTAGTCAATGCATCTGATTTTAATTTACGAGTCTACATTTTACTCTAATAGCCACTCTTCTGAAGGAATTTCCAGTTCTACAGGAAAATACATGAATTAAGCGAGAGTAGCCATTTTAAAAAATCACAGTGAGCCAATTTGAATAGTAATTTAATTTCAATCATTCTTCCGTTACCTCCTAAAAACATATTTTATAACTATGTCCACATAATAAAATAATTCTGACTCATTCTACGTCTAAATATAGTACCTTATAATTTGGAAATATACAAGTCTGACAGCTTTACTTCTGTTTCCCTCAGAGCCCCTGTTGCGCTTAGAACAAAGCTTTGTTTTTTAGAGATAGGGTATACTGGCAGAAGTATGATGTAGAAGAAAGACAACAAATAATAACTAACATTTATTTAGAATTTAAAATGTGCTAGGCACTGTGCTAAGCACTTTAATTTTCACAGCAACTCTGTGAGGTGGGTACTGCTATCAGCCCTGTTTTAAAATAAGGAAATTGAAGTTCAGAAAGATAAAAAATTTTCTCAGTGTCTTGCAACAGAAACAGAACTAGGATTCAAATTAAGATCCGTCTGATTCTAGAACAAGAGTCATCAAACTAAGTCCCACGGCCCAATCCTGCCCACCGTCCCTGATTTGTAAATAAAGTTTTATTGGAACACGCCATGCTCATTCGTTTATGTATTGTGTGTGGTTGGTTTCCTACTACAATGGCAGAGTTGCATAGTTGTGACAGAGACAGATGGGCTGCAAAGCCTAAAATATTGACTTTGAACCTTTATAGGAAAAGTTTGCTGACCCTGTTGTAGAGCAACACCAACATGCCCCCTCTTTTCCCTCTGATAATAGGGTCCATATCTTAGGCAACATTAGAATTCACACTGTGCTTAACATAGTGCCTTACGCTGTGTTTTCAGAATTGTCACATTAAATTTATAGAATGGGAAAATTAACTCCCCTCTTTAATTCAAAGAGTTACTAGGTAATCAAAATATTTTCACAGGTGTAAAATTCCATAGAAATGTAAAATCGTGTTATGAACCTGAATATGTTCTTTAAACAGGTGCTTAGCAAATATTGACTAAATGGAATATTTCTCTATTTGGTTTTAACCATTTCAAGAAATACTGTATATAAATCCCCCCAAAATATGGTTAGAGCTGGACTGGAAGGGAACTTTAAAGACATTTATCTCAACTATTTGTATTTCAATGAGAAGATTAAGGTCTGGAGAAATTTAGTGATGTGGTCAAAACAACAGTTGGTAGCAGAGCCATTCATTTAAAAACACAAGCGGTCTGGTTTGTTTTCTGTTCATTTTTTCATAAATATTTATTATGGCCGTATGTATATTAAATTGTATTTGATTGTTTTATTTAATTCATAGTCTACAAGAGTTTTAGAGCAGTGACATACATCACTGGACATGATTCATGAGATGTATTTTTGAATTTAGATTTCTTAGCAAATCTGGGAACGATTTTTCTTTATGTAAGCAGAAAGTTATTTTTAAGTATTAGTGTAATATTATTAAAAGTGTGAGAATACTAAACTCTTATAAGACACCAAATCATATTGTGAATGCAGCACAAAAATTCAAAAGTGACAGAAATCCCAGAAGTTTGACAATTTTGTCACAGCGTCTACCTTCCTATTCACCAGAATGTCTTGAATGATGCTTATGAAAATATGACACGCTATAATGAAGCAGTCACCAGGGCACTGGGGATCATCACAGCCCTTGAAACCATCCTTGCATCCCATAGAGTAGACCTTGATAATCCAGAAGAGTCACTAGAGATGCCTTGTTGGAAACAAGAGGAATTTGAATCAGCAATAGCAGACATCCAGGACTTCAGTGAGAAATTGGGAGCTATATCCAGCCCTGAAGCCAAGCTACAACTTCAGTATACTTTACAGGAATTAATTTCTAAGGATTCAGCTGTGAGGGAGGCAGCCAAAGTAGAGGAAGCTGAGATAGAAAGGTAAGTTCTTCTTTTTAAAGGTAATCCTTTAAGAAAATAAAATACAAGTGTTTCTTTATAATTAATATGTTCTCTTTAGAGAGAATGTGGAATATATGGGGAAAACCACTGAAGAAAAATGGGAAATATGTTATTGTATTTCTTTCATTTTTTTCTATATATTATTCTATTCATACAAGAGAATATTTATAAAATATGTGTATAATATAAAGAGTAAAGAGTAATTGGAAGAAAGGCCTGGCAATGTACTTTCAAAATCACAGCCATTGAAAACCCTTTGGAGCATAGTTTTACTCTGGAACACATGGGGTCACCATGAGTCGGAATCATCTCAGTGGCAGCTAGCGACTGGTATAAAGAGCAATGATAAAACAAACATTTTCGTACCCAAAGGTTCAAAGAGAAACACCATCACCTTCGAATGCTCTTGTATGCTTTTCCCTCTCCTCTCAGAAGTAACCATTATCCTAAATTTTGTCTTTATTATTTCTATGCTTTTCTTTATATTTTTACTGTGTTTGTGCCCTGAAATAATACATTAGTTTTCATGCCTTTGAACTAACACATAGTGTGTATATTCTTCGTGATTTGATTTTTTCAAACTCATCATTATGATCCTTAGGTTTATTCTTGTTCTTTTCTGTACTGAAATTCATTCACTTAACTACTGATGGACGTTTGGGTTGTTTCCAGTTTCTGCTTTCACAAACAGTGCTACTAGGAACATTTTTAAATGCAAAGGCTTCCCTTGGGTATATGCCTAGGACTGTGGTCACCAGGTAGAAGGTATCCACACCTTATAATATTAATGCCAAATGATTTTACCAATTTCCACTGAAACCAGCAGTATGTAAGTGTACCAGATATCCCATATCCTCACCAATACTTGATATTGTGACACTTAATTTTTGCTAGTCTCATGGGTGAGAAGTAGTGTCTTGTGGTTTTAATTTGGATTTCTGTTATTCCTGATGAGTTTCAACTCTGTTTTGGATGTTTATTGGTCATTTATATTTCCTTTCCTATAAATTGACTCTTCAAGCCTTTATCCAATTTTTATTGGTTTGTTCCGCGTTTTTTCTTATTGATTTGTAAGAATTTATGTTATATTTTGGAGACTGGTCCTTTGTGGCTATGTGTATGACTGATATCTTTATGGAGGGGGTCTTCTATTAGACATCCCTCCTGGGGAGGGCTCCAGAGTTTATCCTCTATTTCTTACAGTCCAGGAGGTGGTCAGCAAAACTGAAACTTGGCAAATGCCCCCAAGGTGAAAAACAGACCCTAGAGCTCTGCTTATTTCTCTGATTTCCACATTAACATAAGTTTGGGCCCTTGAATATTCCTTAATTCTTTGCCAGTATGTTAGTATGTTTTAAGAGGTTTTTTGTTTTTTTTTTAAAAATATATTTGTTATGTAATTTTAAATTGTTTTCAGGGGAAATTTAGGCTATTTTGTATATATAATTTTATACATAATTTTTTTTATATTTCAAACATTTTCTTGTTTAAAAATGTCTTACTTTTTGTTTTAACTTTATAGCATGAGCTCTTTTCCTTTTTGTAACAAACACTTCATTAAAGAAATTCTAATTGCTATAAAATATTTTCTAAAATGGATTGTGGTTATTTACTTAAAACTGTACTTGTTAGACATAAATGCTGTCTATTTTTGCTATTTTAATTAGTACTCTAATGAGGAAAAAGGAGCTCTGGTGGTGTAGTGGTTAAGAGCTTGGCTGCTAACCAAAAGGTCGGCAGTTCAAATCCACCAGCTGCTCCCTGGAAACCCTGTGTGTGCAGTTCTACTCTGTCCTTTAGGGTCACTATGAGTTGGAATTGACTCAACGGCAGTGGGTTTGGTTTTTGTTTTTTTCTTAGCAGTGTTCAAGGATACAATTTTCACTTTACTAAAATAACTCCTTTTTAAAAATCTTCTCCGACTTAGGTATATTAAGGACAGTCTTATTTGTTTGTTAAAGTTTGCATTTATAGCCTTATGCAGGTCCCTTTTGTGGGGACGTAGTGAATAAAAATTTGTTGAAATGCACTGAATAGCAAAATATAGAATCATCATATTCCTTTTTTATTAAGTGCTGAATTCATTCTGGAAAGTTCAGAATTTATCACACTAAGTATAATTTAATATCATTTTTTTCTAACTGTGCCTCATTAGGTGTCTTGAGAATTACAAATGCTATAGAAAAACTAAAGAGAAAATTTGCACTAACTTCAGCAAAATGGAGAAAGTTCTTGGGCAGTCCATGTCCCAGTTGCCACTGTCTTACAAAGAAGCCTTAGAGCACTTGGAACACAGCAAGGTAATAGTATTCACAAGTTTCCTGTAGGTCTGTGCAAAAAATAGAATATGTGGGTGAAGGCAGCAGAGAATGTGGCTCTGTTATGACCCAAAGGAATCTTTAAGCTAACTTCTACACTTAAGAAAATTCCTCAAACCAAAAGCCAAGAATAAAATGAAGCAATGATTCTGAGAGATTTTTCACAAGACAATCCTCTTCCAAACCAGCATACCTTGTCTTTACTGATCGCTCATTTTAAAGCTTTACATTTCGTCTTATATTGTTGGATACTGATGAATCAGTGACAGAACCTTGTTGTCCACTGAGACTTTACTACAACTGTCTTGCGCTCTACATTCTGCATACTCCTTATAGTCTGTTATTAAGTAATTTCAGTTTTTGCATGTTTTCATCTGTCTGAATCTGTGGTATTAGGAGTAAGGACATTCTAAATCAGCCTGCTTAAGATCTCCTCCCTCCCCTTACCCCACACCCCCCCCCCCAAAAAAAAAAACCCAACAACAACAACAAAAAAAACAAATACTGCTTTGGTGGCTAATAAAGTTTGATAAAATATGAGACTTAAAATAACAAAATGTGTTTTAGGGTATTCACCTTTGAAAATAAATTCTTACTAGGAAAAAAAATGGTTTATGGGTCGTTACTTTCCTCACAGTCCCAAATTCACGGGCAGTTCAATAATACACAGATAATTGTCATCTGGTTCAGACTGACAGATATACTTCCAAAAGAACTTTTAAAAAATGCATCACGTAATACTGTAGAAGATTTAAAATCATGACTTTTTCAAGATTTAAAAATCATTTATCTGTTTCAGAAAAATTAATAGACTAGACTTTATGCCACTCCTGTTCCTTTTATTGTCTTTCTTAAGGCTTTGGTATCAAATCTTCTATCAACTAAAGAAGAGTTAATGGAACTACGGCAGGTCCTCAGTCACTTGAGACCCATGTGCACAGAAAATGATGGCATGTGTTTGCTCAGAACTGTGTCTACCTTGTGGGAGAAATGGTTGCGTTTGCTGGAAATGGCTAAAGAATGGGAGATGTGGTGTGAAGAGCTAAAGCAGGAATGGAAATTTGTCAGTGAGGAAGTGAGTGCTTCGTATTCAGTAGTAAATCTTACAGTTTCCAAACAAATGCTCTTTATTTTGTTTTTATATAAAATGAGTATCCAGCCTGTACTGTTTGTTTATATCACATATATATCACACATAAATGTTTATAGAAGTCAGATCCTATTAAAATAATCTCCAAGAAATGATTCAAAGCCTTTCATAATTGTAGCATTTTTGTACGAGATATTCTTATAAATAAATGACTGCTTGCTTATTCAGGCTTTAAAGTCTTTACTGTGCAGATAAGTTAAACCCTCTTAAAAATAACTCTACATTATACTAAAGGTTAGAATTAGCTAATATGCATAATAACCAACTAATTATGGAATTAACTATAACTGTTACTTATGGACCTAAAAAATAGCAGATATGATGTTCATTCTGAAAACGATCTAAAAGAAAACCTCCATAATATATATCAGTCACAGATGTTAATGTTAATTTAACCAGGGTTCAGGACTTAGGTATCACATATTTAGAAAGAAAAGTTAAAATAGTACGAAATTATTTTAGGGCATTCTTTAATCTTTCCAAAAGGGGTAGATATACATGAGGTAAAAATAATCTCTTCTTATAATCTTATTGGTTTCAAAATTCCTAGTGAATTTACTTACGAGAGGTAAATACAATGAATTAATATTTAATTGGTGGTAGGTCACATATGATAGGATTTAAATGTTTAGCACTATTATCTTTCTTAAAACTTTATATTTTTGAAAATGAATGCAATTTTCATAGTGGTGGGGTTTGATTAATAAATAGTCTCTTGACTGTTAAAGCTCTGAGAAACTTTGTAAATTAAAATTTTAGCTGAACTGCTAGTACCATTTTTTTTTTCCCATCCATAATGGCACCATTTTTTGAGTTCCTGCACTAGTCTGCGTGCTTTGCTGAGAAGGCACTTCAGACGTGAGTTCACCAAATTCTTACATAGCTCTCATGAAGTAAGAGAGGGCGAAATTGGGTATTGAGAGATTATGTAATGGCACAAGCCACCCAGCTAGAGAGTAATTTAGCTGAAAGCCCCTGTGAGTTAGAGTTGGTATGGTTTGCCTCACCACATAACCTTAGAATCTGCCAAGTAAATATTGTGCTTAGTGGGCACTTTGTAAATATTTGTTGAGGGACGTTCTTATTCAAACCCAGGCCTATGCTAATTCTAAATTTTTATTCTTTTTATATTGTCTCTCTTTTGCTGTATATCCGTTTACAGTTATATCTTGTTCGTTCAGACCTCGTTTATTTAGAGCTTTGTAATTATCCATACAAGCATTTGGTAATATCTGTTAACAAAATATACTTTTCAAAGAGTGTAATAGCACAAACAAAAGTATAAAAGAAAATGTCCTCATGTAATAATAACAGCAATGACTAACAATTACTGAGTGCTTACTGTGTGCCAGGCACAGAATCTAAGCACTTTACATGTATTACCTCATTTATCCTCACAAGAATCCTATGAGGTAGATATTTTAGTTATGTTCATTTAACAGATGAGGTAAATGAAGCACAGTGGGATTGAGTAATTTACCTGAGTTCACAAATGAGTGGTAGAGGAGGATTCAAATTTATAATCTGGCACTTAACCAGTTACTGTCAACTTAAATGAACTATTAATTTAAAGACATTAAATTGATGTGAAACTTTAAAATAGCTTTTATCCATTCAGTAAAGATTATATCATATAAAGATCTACACACGTATGATTCTGTTGGCATAGGTGGTACTTTCATAAGTAACAATGTTAATTTCTGTTTTTAAAATGGATTTAAAAAAAAAAGTTGCCACTGAGTTCATTCAGATTCATGGCGACCCCACGTGTGTCGGAGCAGAACCTTGCTCCATAGGGTTTTCAGTGGGTGATTTTTCAGAAGTAGATTGCCAGGCCTTTCTTCTGAGGTGCCTCTGGGTGGACTTGAACCTCCAACTTTTCAGTTAGCAGCCAAGCCCAATAACTCTTTGCATCACCCAGGGACTCATGTAGTACTAATATAATAATACTGTATCTTTATGTAATAGATGGTTTTCATAAGTAAATGTTCTAGGACACTAAAATTTATATTCCCCCTTTACCTTACATGCTAAAAAACACATTTAAATATTTATTTTTTTCCCTAAGTTTTACCTCCTTGTTTTTTTAAACATAAACTGCTTGATATAATTATTCATTTTTGGTCGTTCAGAATCATCGTTTTACGCTTTGATGACCACAGTGTGTTAGAATAAAGTCATGCCTTCAAAGATGCTTGAAAGTGTAAAGCTGGCTACTTCTTGTACCAAAAGCCCCAACAGCCATTTCCTTATTAGTTCCTATTTCTTCAGGCTACAGATTTTTCAATCCCCTTCATTGTATTTGCTTTCTGCAACTATGATTCTTTCTCCCTTTCTAGACTGTACCTTATAATTGGTTGCAAACCTAAAAATTTTGTAACCAATTTTATTAGAATTCAGTGTTTAAGGAAAATAAAGTGGCTACAGAGCCTCTGCTGGATGGAAACATGAGTGTATAATCTTTGTGGTAACTATTTTACTGACTTGGGGACTGTCTTAGCCAGGATTCCCCTCAGGAAGTGGAGTCTGAGACAGGGGCTTGCATGCTGGTAGTTTATTTTGGAAGATGATCCCAGGAACAATAGTGGGGGGACTAGGAGGATGAAATAGGAAAGGTCTGAGCCCTTAGTTACTTTACTTTTATTGGGTCGTGGCTGCCGCAGTTCTTCGTTTATTGTTATTGCTGGGCATGGAAGCACCAAGAGAGACTCCATTAAGTCCTCTAAATTCCAGATATAGTTCTTCCAACTCCCAGTTTGTATTGGAAACCCTAGCATACAATTATCCTGTCCATAAAGCAGTTCCTTTCTTTGCGTATTGGTTCTGTGGCAGAGGAACCCATAATGGCCAAGTGACAGTCATAACTTCAAATTCAGTGGAATCCTTATCTCCGTTTCCTAGTAGAAGTGTAGCTATTTGCCCAAGAACCAGGACTTCTAATACAAGTACTCTTAGGATTGAGGTAATGGAAAGTGTAAATCCTATAACTGGGTCTCTGAAGGAGAGACCAATCTATCTCTACCCCTTCGTTCTGGTACCCATGTATTCTAGCAAATGAATTTAGACACAACTGGATCATATGGCCCAAGTGGCACGAGAGCTTATACCACAGCCCAGACCTGTTGGAGAGCCCTTTTTCTCCAGGCTGTCCTCAAAATTGGCAGCATCCTGATAAATGGATTGGAGCAGTATTTCCAAGTGTACCATACACTGCCTCCAAAATCCAAATAGGCCCTCTTTTTTAGCAGTAGGGATACAAGATTGAGCAACTTCACTTTTACCTTGCCCCAGACCATTGGGCCGCTGGAAACTCAATTGATATTGTGGCTGCTGAATTTTCATAGACTTTATTTCCCACTGTCTGTCGTGTTTTACTGGGCATCCAGGTCCTTGTTCCCCATTTCAACTAGCATGATATCATAAATGTAGTTGACCAGTGTGATATTCTGTAATGTCAAAACTATAAGATGCCTGACTCTTGTAACACTGAATGGGAGATTTAACCCATTAGGGGCAGAATGTGATAAATACGTGGTGCTGCAGAGGGGAGGGCCAGAGGATTTGAGGAGGAAGATAGGAAGGATCTGATTCAAGGGCCTTTGAGACTTTTTTTCCCTTTTGTATTCTTTCTGAGTTCAGAACTGGTGGAACTCCAGTTTCCAGATATGTGATATATTAGGTTATATATTTCTGTGTTATGCACATATTGTTGTTATTAGCTGCCCTCGAGTCAGCCTGTGACTCATGGCAACCCCGTACAAAATGGGATTAGATCATTGTGATCCATAGGGTTTTCACTGGCTGATTTTCAGAAGTAGATCACCAGGTCTGTCTTCCTAGTCTGTCTTAGTCTCAAAGCTCTACTGAAACCTGTTCAGTGTCAGAGCAACATGCAAACCTCCACTGACAGACGAGTGGTGGTTGTGCTTGAGGTACGTTGACCAGGAATCGAACCTGGTCTCCCGCATGGCGGGCGAGAATTGTACAACTGAACCACCGATGCCCTTACCCCCAACCCACTGCTGTCGAGTCGATTCCGACTCATAGCAACCCTATAGGGCAGAGCAGAACTGCCCCATAGGGTTTCTAAGGCTGTAAATCTTTACAGAAGCAGATTGCCACATCTTTCTCCCACAGAGTGGCTGGTGGGGTCGAACCACTGACTTTTCGGTTAGCAGCCAAGCACTTAAGCACTGAGCCACCTGGGCTCCTATGCCTTATTCCAAACCCATCAAGTTGATTCAGATTCATAGTGACCCTATAGGACAGAGTAGAATTGCTCCATAGGGTTTCCAAGGAGCAGCTGGTGGATTCGAACTGCCAACCTTTTGCTTAGCAGCCGAGCTCTTAACCACTGCGCCACCACGTTTCCTTGCCCTTATTAGTGGTTAGTAAATACTTGATTAGTTCAGTAATTTGGCTGTTTTTCCTTTCATGGTTTTCAAAGTAGTTAGGATCTATTAAACTTACTGTTTTGAGCATATAGGAATGAAAAGAGACCTGAAGAAAAATTTGCATATCCAGTAATTGTCCATCCTCTGATACTTAGTGGAGGCAGTTTGGTGGAGCTGATCCTATGGCTGTCTATCCCTATGGCTATCTCAGAAGAAATACTGCTTTATGCAACGGAAATCTGAAGGAGAAATACGTCATTTTAATCATGGGATCAATAATTGGGAACTATGGGATTCTGATTATAGAGGAATAATATTCCCAACTGTAGAAAAACACACATTACATTGCACTAGGATGTGACACTGGAGCCCTGATGGCTCAGTGCTTATGAGTTCGGCTGCTAACCAAAAGATGGGCAGTTCGAATCCACCAGCTGCTCCTTGGAAACCCTATGGGGCAGCTTTACTCTGCCCTATAGGGTTGCAATGAGTTGGAATCGACTTGACGGCAGTGGGTTTAGGATATGACACTGGGAACCCTTTGAAGAGCCAAAGTAAAAAATTAGAGCTGCCAAGATATTGTTTTAGGTCCTAAAATGATAAGTGTATATTTTACTTATTTTAGTTCTCTTTTTTCATTTATTGAATTAGATTGAACGAGAAGCAATTATTTTAGATAATCTTCAAGAAGAACTGCCTGAAATTTCCAAAACAAAAGAGGCAGCCTCCACAGAGGAACTCTCAGAGTTTCTAGACTGCTTATGCCAGTATGAAGAGAATGTGGAGAAGCAGCAGCTGTTACTGACCCTACTTTTTCAGCGCATAAAGAGTATCCAGAATGTTCCTGAAAATTTAGGGGCTGTGGAAACTGTTCCAGCATTTCAAGAGATTGCATCTATGAAAGAACGGTGTATCAAGTAAGAATCAGTTATGAAAACTATTAAGGAAATGTATTTGATGAATCAGGCTCAAAATTTAGAAAACATTGAATTTAGAAAACGTCAAGATTTTATAGAATAATGACACGATATGACAGAATCGAGTTGAGTCAACACTGATTGGTATAAAAAAGGATGGAAAAGATTAATAACCATAATTAAAACAAGCTCAGGTTCTCCATCCTGGTATTCCTAAGGGTGACTATCCTTCAAATTTCTTTTAATTAATGTTTGCTGTTTTTCTAATTAAGTAATGCATAATCATAGAAAATTTTGATAATGTGGAAAATTGTAAAGATTAGTATAAAAATACATCTTTAATCTCACCACTCAGCAACTATTGCTGCCAGTGCTTTTTCTGTATTCCTTCTCACCTTTTTATCTATGATTATATTTTTAAACAAATTAAGATCATACTGTTTACACTGTTTTGTATTGTGCTGAGTCATTTATCACCATATGATGTGCATTTTCCTATGCCATTAAATATTCTTTAAAAACATGGCTATATAATATTCTGCCATGTAAATATGTCATAATTTATTTAACCAATCCCCTGATATAGAATCTTCAAATTATTTGTGTTTTTTCTTTTTTACTGTCATAAAAACATTGCGGTGGATATTCTTACGCCCAAATCTCTATCTGCATTTGTGATTATTTCATTGAGAAAGATGCTTAGTAGAATCATTGGTCCAAAGGATATAATAATTTAATGATTAGAGATATTTATTAAATAGCCCCCAAGAAAGAATTTACCCATTTAAACTCACAGCAATACATGAGAGTAAATAAACTTCAACTTTCTGATTTCTGGTGGTGTAAAAACGGCTTGGGGGTGACATCTGACCTCCTCTAACTTCACAAGGGGGAAGGAGAATCAAGATCAACAGCCTAAGGCTGATTCCTATGAGGCTGCAGTCAGACATGCCTCCTGTCTCCACCATCTTTACCAATTCTGACACCAACCATCCCTCCTACAGCAAGCTCTATGTATCTGCTGGGTTCAGTAATGCATTGCGGTGGCCACACAGAACTCACAGGCAATACTCACGTTATGAAGTTTATTAGGGAAGTAACAATTACAATTCAGGTTCAGGAACACTCAGGATACAGTTATTCCATCAGGACAGCCACTTTTCACCTGTGCTCTCAGGCACGCCTCTCCCTGGCCCTTTGTCCTCTGCCCTTGTTCAGGCAAGTGTTGCAAAGCTCTTGTAGCTCTGCTGGTAAGTGCCCAGAGACACCCCACTCCAATGCCTTGGCCCGTAGGTTCTCAGCTCTAGCTCCTTGGGTTGTCAACAAACCTACCTACACCAAGTGTCCAAGGGCATCCTACACACTCTCTCTCTCTAATTCTCTCTTTCCTCAGCACAGGGGTCCTGGGTCCAAAGGACATGCTCTGCTCTTCCTTTGTGGTGTTGGTGTTGGTGGGATCCCCCCTTCTCGCCTCTGGAATGGCTCGTTTCAAGCCCAGAGGGATGGCAAAACTGACCAATCCCTTTGGTAGGCCACAGTTACCTTATTTGCACAATCCCACCCAATCAATTGGGTGGGAGTTAAAAGATCATGGTGAGAAAGGCCACACAAAAGCAATCCATCACAACACAGGTGACTACATCCACAGCAGTTGAGGTTGGATAAAGATAAAAAAGGCTGATGGGGTTGTCTTTTCCCCCAGAGCCCACCCATGACTCAGTTCACATCTCCAAGTCATTTTCAGTTGAGCTCAAGGATTACGTGGGGAAAAAAATGTTGGACAGAGATGGCAATTGGGATATAAAGTGTGAAAAGATATTTTTGGATGAAAGTTTAGAGAAATTTTTGGTTTAGTGATAGAATTTTATACATGTTTGTATATGTATGTAAGTCATTGAAAACTGGTATTTTTCTATTAGGAAAACATGCAGACATTTTATTAATTGTTGACATAAAACTTTATTTTGTAAAAGAGCAGGATAGGAAACAATTTTGTTACTTCAATGCTATATTTTAGACTTTTTCAGAAAACCCAAAAAAATAAGGAGTTGGTACAGACTGAAATTCAAGGAAGACATTCCTTCAAAAAGGAAATAATGGCTTTGAAGAATTTATTTCAACAGACTTCTTTCCAAATTATGGAATTACAGGATCACCCAGAAAAGACAGAACAGTTGGAGGTAAATGAGGGATGAACTAGTGAATGTTGATGATGCAGGTTTACAATCTTATATCCAAAGTCCTTGGGGCAGAGGTAACTTGGTGACTAGAGTGAGGGGAGCGATGCAGGGAGAGAGGAAAGCACGTACAAACGCCCTGTGGCGTGATGTGGGTAGAACCAGGGAAGATCAGTGTGGTTGCAGGACAGACAGAAGAGATGAGACCAGGTTGGGAAGGTTGGCCAGTCTACACCAAGCAGCCCCTTTAGTCATGTTTCGAGTTTGACAACTGCATTTGGTGAACAGGGGCCTCCAACCACTCAACTGACATCGTGGACTATTAGCTGTAGTAGGTCACAGCATCTTATAACTCTAATAGGGGCTGTGCACACACTAAAGGTTATTTGGGAACTCATTTCTTCAGAATGATTGGTTTTCCCATTCCAGTCCTATGGTAACAATCAAAAATGACATTTGGAAGTTTATTCAAAAGTCATATGCTGTTGTTAACCAGAGTTTTTGGTCACTAAATTTTGAAAAAGTAAACACGGAAGCAATCTTCATGGAAAGCCATCTTTGTATATCTCTGAATGAATCCTATACTATTGGACTAGGTCTAGATAAAACAGGATCATACTTATATCTCTAATTCCCCTTTTGTCTGAAGGGCATTGTTCTTTAACTTTCCCTCTATAGTTTTGCTCTTTGCTGAGGATTAAGAAAAGGAAAACAGTGATACATCCCATAGTCATTTAAATTGTAGTCATTCTTCAGTGCAGTGATTCAATCCATTAACACAAATAATGCTGCTGAACAGCTACTGTGAAAAAAAAAGCCCTAGTAAAGTCAAGAAGTACTTTTCCACTTGATCTTTGGGAAACTTTTGCAAACAAATGAGTTTCTCCTTTATAGTTAGTGCAGGAGAGTGTAGATCAGATTTTGTTTTTAGGCCACAACCAATAGACTATTTGTTCAGGTTTCTTTTATCCCCTAAAACTTACATTCTTTGCATGGAACTGGAACCCTCCCTTTTGAAAGAAGTTGAGCTCGCCTGGGCTGTCTAATTACATGAAAGCAGACACTTCTGCTTCAAGCTTAGGGCTTTTAGTGGCCTTGAATCATTGTGATGATAATGTAGAAAGAAGCAGAAATGGCAACAACTTAGTAACAAAGAAAAAAACTGCTTTGAAATTTTTTGCTACTTGCAGCTTTTTAGATCAGGACTGTGACTGAGATACAATTAAATCATAGAGGTACTTTAGAAGCAGGAGATGTTGTAATGTCTTTCCACAACAATGGTTTGACACTCTGAAGAGATATCAGGTTTAATTCTTACAAATTAGAAGGCATCATCTGACTAAACTGAGTATCTCTCAGGCTTAATCAGCTTGTATCAATAGTGAAGTTTTGTCATGCAGAGTTTGGTCATTTAAATCATAGGATGTGCGAGAAAGCTGCTTTCAGTTTTAGAGTTAAACTTTTTCCCTGTCCTGTGATTATTGAAACTCTCTTGATGTCTTTAGGAGCTTCAAAGCATTCTGAAGAAAGAAAAGCTAACTTTTGAGGATATTATGGAAAAACTGCGTATCAAGTATTCTGAAATGTATACCATAGTCCCTGCAGAGATTGAATCCCAGGTGGAAGAATGCCGAAAAGCTTTAGACAACGTAGAGGAGAAGGTAATAATACTGTTTGTTTTAGTGTTGTTATTTATGGAGTTGAATAAATAGAGAAGAAGAAAATATCATCTAATAATCACATTTTCATTTCTCCTGATTTCAGTTATGGCTGTTTGTGTAGAGTTTAGTTAAGTGACAATGTTGTATAAAGAATATTGAGTTGAAGGTACACTAAATAAGTGACATAGATAACAGAATTAGATAATCTGTTTTAGTTTTCAAGATGTTTTTCTTCTCTTGTGTTTTAAAATAGATTTATATATTATATTTTATTCTGCTATTATCTTTTACTGCAGAACCGCTAAGAATTTTGTACGTAAACAAGACTTTGCTTTAAGACGTATTTACTGTGAACATTTTGAAATTGCATCCAAGGGCAATAGGAATACAAATTTCGCTACTCACAAGGAAGAGCACTTAGCACAGAGACTGCCTTAATGATGATCGAATTCTCACAAAGCATACCTGGGCAAATCTTTATACCCGAAAAGCCAGATTTGAAGAAAGAGTGGTAAATGTTCTATAGTACTGGAGAGATAGGAATTTAGCAAGACAATTTATTGAATTGTAAAAACACAGCCCGAATCCAACAGAACAAAGTTCTGTTTGGTTCAGCATCCATGGAAGGATTTTTGCACTGCTTTTGCAGCCTAGAATACTAGCTAGTTATTATATAACAAGTTGTACTAATATGACTTGATAAGTAAAATAGATCTTAAATGTACACAAAAAAAATCAGATTTCAAACTTAGTTGCTAGAATCCATCTTTAACGTCAATAAGAGATCTCTGAGGAAAATCTAAGCTGTGTAAAAAACATGTAAACTAATGCATGTGTGGAGCAAATCTTGTAACACGCAAGAAAATTTACTGTAAGGTACGTTCTCAAGGATCATGTTCTATTGATTTTAAGAGAATACTAAATATTTTGAGAGAAGCTAAATATTGATCTCATGAATATTTCCTATAAAAATCCCCCCAAAGTGAATTAATAATCAAAATCAGTCATTCAAATTTAGGGTTGAAAATGTCAGCTGTACTGTAACTTGTATATTTGTAGCAAACAGCAACTGATTTTTATTGTTTGATGTGCTTGAAGGAAGAGCAAGAATCCAGTCAACAGATATGTACCATTCTGTATAATTCAAATGGATCCTTGTTTCTTCTAAATCATGATCTCTTCTAATACAGCTAAATGATACTAATTTCTGCCGGAGTATAATAGCCCAGAATATCAGAAAACTTTATTTTGTGGTAATATGTCATACAGCAATAGAAAGCTAATACAAGATCGAAGTGGGTTTTTTTGGTTTTGATAGTCTTGACTGTGGTATGATCGGTGGAACAAAAACATGAAATAGAAGCATCAAGAGTCTGACGTTCTAGATAGTGCATGGAATTCAGTCTGCAGCCGCAGGGCTTCTCAGGGCGAGTTCACGCGCTACCTTGACATACGACCTTAAGCAAGTCATTTAGCCTGTTTCAGTTTCTGTATCGCTATGCTGTGTAGATATAGTGGTTCTTTCGAGAATTAAAAGGATTATACGAAAGTACGAAGTATTATTTGATTATTTAGTGGTTGCCTGAAGAAAACCTTATCAACATAGCTTGAAAAAACAAGGACGCAAACTAATCAGGTATTTGAAAAAGGATACATTCAGTATTCATTTATTATCTTTCCTCGCACAAGTTATTTTCTTAAGAAAATCATTCAGATAAAAAAATTACACTGTTCAGAAGCTAGATTTCTGATGGCTGTAAAAACAGACACTTGAACATTCACACAGAAAATTAAGCTCTGTGCCTCCTCAAGAAATAGTTTTAGAAGGTTATCTCACCAAATGAATATGAAGGTGACAATTAGATTTTCTTTTATCAGCTTGAGAATAAGTTTGGTTTTATTGGAAACAGATCTGTGCAGAGGATTTTCTCATAAAATGGAGAGATTGTGTAATAATTTACCTCCTAGGATCTCTTTTATATTATATGACCCATTGGGGTATTTTTCGAACACACTCCACTCAGTAGTTTTGCCTAACACAGCATGTATCTGCAGCACATATCTTAGATTACATTCAAATTTTTATTTGTTTGTTGTATTTATTTTATATTGGATTTAAAAAGTCAGGTCAGCACAGCTACCATTTTACTAGTCTGCTAATCCACTTCCACATTAACACATTAGCCAGTTTGTCACTCTCCCCACAGCCCCAACCGTCCTTAAACATTTTTTTATAAGTAAAATTACATAGCAGAGTGGGTACCCCTTTAATTGTGTGAGTGCAGAAAACACCTGTAAGCCAAATGTGTCTATCTTCCTTTGTAACAGATTAGCAATGCAGTCTTGAAAAGCTCACCATCATATGCAATGAGTTTAAAAATAGAAGAAATTAACAGTGGGCTTCATAATGTTGAAAAGATGTTACAGCAGAAAAGCAAAAACATTGAGAAAGCTCAAGAAATTCAAAAGGTAATGTCCTCCTTTAACTCCCTTCAACATTTGGTATTTCTGATCCTTTCTTCCCCCAGTTCGTTAAACATCGCAAGTTGTGGTCTTTAGTTTATTCTGACACTCAGGGACCCTAAACCAGATCAACAAAGTACACTTTCATGAGTGTCACCCTGAAGAGACTTTGTAGAGAATGTTGCATTTAAGAATTGTTCTCAGTTTTTCCATGGTGGGAATATGCCCAAACTTGTGATAGCCTATGATTATGAAACTAGCCTTTTTTATAAGTAAAGGAAGAATATTATCTTAGAACCCTGATATAAAAACAATTCATTAGGATATGAAAAGTATTAACAGCTTTTCTTTAGACTGTGAAAGAAAAAAAGAGAAAAGAAATTCCAAATTGATTTCCCTTGTAAAGCATCTTAGGAAATAACATCTTAGGAAAACTGTACGGATACGTAAAATTCTACCTCTCAAGTCCCAGGTAAACTCCTGCATATGGAAAACATTTTGATTTTAATCTACATTTTTTTTTTTTTTTTTAATATTTTATTGTACTTCAGGTGAAGGCTTACAGAACAGATAGTTTCTCATGTAACAGTAACACAGATGCTGTTTTATGACATTGGTTAAC